CAGGTTCGACCTCACTCGAACTGGGACTCAGGCTAAGTGCCTTCGCCATCAAAGTTTGACAGTTTGACCTCGTTCGAACTTGGACTCAGGCTAAGTGCCTTCGCCATCAAAGTTTGACAGTTCGACCTCGTTCGAACTGGGACTCAGGCTAAGTGCCTTCGCCACCAAAGATTAATAGTTCGACCGCGCTCGAACTGGGATTAAGGCTAAGTGCCTTCGCCATCAAAGTTTGACAGTTCGACCTCGTTCGAACTGGGACTAAGGCTAAGGCCTTCGCCATCAAAGATCGACAGGTTCGACCTCACTCGAACTGGGACTCAGGCTAAGTGCCTTCGCCATCAAAGTTTGACAGTTCGACCTCGTTCGAACTGGGACTCAGGCTAAGTGCCTTCGCCATCAAAGATCGACAGGTTCGACCTCGTTCGAACTGGGACTAAGGCTAAGGCCTTCACCATCAAAGATCAACAGTTTGACCTCGTTCGAACTGTGACTAAGGCTAAGGCCTTCGCCATCAATGATCGACTGGTTCGAACTGGGACTAAGGCTAAGTGCCTTCGCCATCAAAGATTAACAGTTCGACCTCGCTCGAACTGGGACTCAGGCTAAGTGCCTTCGCCACCAAAGATTAATAGTTCGACCTCGCTCGAACTGGGATTAAGGCTGTGCCTTCGCCATCAAAGTTTGACAGTTCGACCTCATTCGAACTGGGACTCAGGCTAAGGCCTTCGCCATCAAAGATCGACAGGTTCGACCTCGTTCGAACTGGGACTAAGGCTAAGGCCTTCGCCAAAAAGAAGAAGAGTTCGGCCTTGGTCGAATGACGACGGGTTAACATTTCGATAAGTCGAAATAACACCCTTTAAGGCTAAGGGCCTTCGCCAAAAAGAAGAGTTCGACCTCGATCGAACGACGACGGGTTAACATTTTGATAAGTCGAAATAACACCCTTTAAGGCCAAGGGCCTTCGCCAAAGAAGAAGAGTTCGACCTTGATCGAACGACGACGGGTTAACATTTCGATAAGTCGAAATAACACCCTTTAAGGCTAAGGGCCTTCGCCAAAAAGAAGAGTTCGACCTCGATCGAACGACGACGGGTTAACATTTTGATAAGTCGAAATAATACCCTTTAAGGCTAAGGGCCTTCGCCAAAAAGAAGAGTTCGACCTCAATCGAACGACGACGGGTTAACATCTCGATTAGTCGAAATAACACCCTTTAGGCCAAGGGCCTTCGCAAAAGAAGAAGAGTTCGGCCTTGATCTAACGACAACGGGTTAACATTTCGATAAGTCAAAATAACACCCTTTAAGGCTAAGGGCCATCGCCAAATAGAAGAATTCGGCCTCGTCCGAATCAACATTCGACCTCGTCCGAAAAAACATTCGGCCTCGTCCGTATCAACATTCGGCCTCGTCCGAATCAACATTCGGCCTCGTCCGAAACAACATTTGACCTCGTCCGAATCAAGCTTCGGCCTCGTCCGAATCGACTGTACGGCCAAGGGCCTTCACCAAAAAGAAGAGTTCGACCTCGATCGAACGACGACGGGTTAACATTTCGATAAGTCGAAATAACACTCTTTAAGGCTAAGGGCCTTCGCCAAAAAGAAGAGTTCGACCTTGATCGAACGACGACGGGTTAACATTTCGATAAGTCGAAATAACACCTTTTAAGGCTAAGGGCCATCGCCAAATAGAAGAATTCTGCCTCGTCCGAATCAGCCTTCGGCCTCGTCCGAATCAACATTCGGCCTCGTCCGAAACAACATTCGGCCTCGTCCGAAACAACATTCGGCCTCGTCCGTATCAACATTCGGCCTCGTCCGAATCAACATTCGGCCTTGTCCGAAACAATATTCGACCTCGTCCGAATCAACCTTCGGCCTCGTCCGAATCAACTGTACGGCCAAGGGCTTTTGCCAAAGAAGAAGAGTTCGACCTCGATCGAACAACGACGGGTCAATGTTCCTCGAAATAATACCCTCTAAGGCCATGGGCCTTCGCCGAAGAGAATTCGAAATGTCCCTAAGGCCAAGTGTCGTCAGAAAATATAAAGGGAAGGAAAGACCGGGACTCGCCATGCGGGAATCTACCTCGCACCGAAGTCGCAAAAAGCGAAAACATGGAAAAGTACAAGGCAAATACAACAAAAAATTCTTCTTTATACAGAGTCACTACGCAAATAGTCGCAGATTACATACGACCCAGATCAATGGTCAAAAAAGACAGCTATCTTTTCACTCGGCGTCATCATCGCCACTCTCCTCACCACCATCTCCAAGATATTCTCCCTCGGCATCGGCATCCTCAGCTGCAACCCATACTAGTCGACCTCCCCATCCGAATTTCTCGAACTACGATTAATGAGGTCCGCTCACCGAGCTCAACCAAGAGACGACCTCGATAAACGGAAGGACTAACTGTATGGGTCAAAATTAGACTAGAGAAATTCGGCACACGAAGACATAAAGGTCGGACAGGCCAAGGTCGGACCGTCATCAATAAAGCCAAGGTCGGACCGTCATCAATAAGGTCATGGTCGGACAGGCCGAGGTCGGACAGTCATGAAACTGCTAGATTGCTTTGGAATACTCAAAAGGAATATTCTACCGAATATTCTCTCTAAATTGTACCTTTTGTTAGGATTTTCTATGGATACCCCCCTTATAAATAGGAGGGGAGGACTTTCCATTTGGGGGGGGGGGGGGGGTATCGTCTCTCTCCCCCTGCCTCTCTCTAGAAAATATGTAAACACATCTCTCTGGAGAATCTGTAATCTCATACCTTCATCGGATCCAAAAAGGGTCCTAAGGTTCTTGCATTTGTCTATCATTTGTCTTTATCAAAGGAAAGAAGATCCGTCTCACTCAAATTGGGTGAATCCTTTCCTTTATTTACATTTTATCGCCATTTAATGTTACTTAATGCATCTTTCTTTATGTTATTAAATCTGGACATAATCACGGCCAATATTTATACTCGACTATGTTTTTCTATTCATAATACTCATCTCGGAGCTAGAGTTAATTATCTTTAACTAGGATGTACCCCTTCATCTTTAATTTATTTGTTCAAAAGGTTTTGATAACTTTTGAGTCAAACAAAGATGCGGAATAATTGACTAGACACCATCACTGCTACAACTAACTCGCTAATTTTGATAGGAAGATGTTCGTTTGGCTTTTGTATTCTGGAGTCTAATATCTAATAGGTACGTACCTTGCGTACGAGAGCAAAAGCAAAAACAAACGTGAGAATATTAAAATTGTTACTTAAACTCACGTTAAGTATCTGGCCGAAAAAGAAAGACATAAAACTTTAGCGTTTAGTACATTATTTAATTATTTCGTTTCGGTCGAATTCTATCGTATTAAATTAGTTCTTCTTTTGTCGAATTATGTTCATGTTGAGTCTCGTTGTGTTTCAAATTGACAAATTCATATGAAAATAGAGAAAAGACTATTGCTCCTTTATTAAAAAAAAAAACTAAACCATTGCTATTAGCAATCATAGGAAGTATAAATTTTTTCTTTAGCTATTTCAATATATTTTATTCATATATAATTACAATAAATTATTATTCATAATATCCTCATGTAACTTTTAAATGCATAATTTAATTCTTTTTAAGAATTGAAGGGTTAATGTCTGAATTTAGATTGTATTTTTCTTGCAATTTGATTGGTGTGCTTTGATATTACACCACATAAGGATGATGTGAAAAACCAAAAATTTCTTCGCTTTCAACTAGAGTTTCGGATTTGACTATAGTTATCTTTGGTAAGAAGAGGTAAAATTCTATTATGGAATTTTAAATTAGTTGAAGCACTATATATATACTTGTAATAAAAGAGAAAAAACCCTATTTCTTTTCTTAACGAAAATAGAGTAAAGCGTGAATGGAAAATTTGGAAAATAGAGTATCTAAAAAGGGAAAAGATCTGAACTCCAAATTCTTACCTTTCATAACATAAAAAATAAAAGGCCAAATACATATACAACCCATCCAACTTGACACCATTTTTCATTTTGGCAGTTTATCTCTATCTTGTTCCATTTTGACCATCCAACTCTATTTTTTATGTTCCATTTTGGCCCTCCAACTCCATTTTTTATGTTCCACTTTAACAGAAAAGTTGAAACCAGTGCAAAAAAAATAGCGCGTGTGTATACACAAATCTGAGTTGTAATAAATATCCAATTAAATGTTGTCACCTGGTATTTTAGTCCATGTCAAACGGGTCAATACTAAAATACCCAAACCCGGACGTATTTTTTCATCCACTGTTGCCCCATCTTCATTCTCAAAGTTCCAAAGCTTTCATCTGCCAATGTCATACCTGGCCATCCAGAAAATTTCAAACTTCTGCAATTTTATTGTTCGTTTATTTATTTAGATATTTTTGCGGGTTTATTTCATCTAAGCTTGAAGTTTAAAGTGAATCCATGTCTCAAAGAAAATTATTTTTTCATAACGGAATGGATTGTTCTTATGGATTTCAAGTTGAACTGAAAGTATCATAAACACCAAGAAATCCAGGTCGGCGCTTTTATGGGTGTAAATTTAAATAAAGTAAGTGAATCATTTTTGGATTTCATTTTTAGTATTGTCATTTTCTTGTGTAAATAAGAAGCGGACTTACTTTTACCCAAATATGGTCGGGTTCAAGTATTTTAATATTGACCCGTTTGACATGGATGAAAAAACCAGGTGGTAACATTTAATTGAATTTACACTTCAAATTTGTGTATACACGCGCGTTATATTTTTTGCACTGGTTTCAACTTTTGTGTTAAAGTAGAACATAAAAAATAGAACTGGAGGACCAAAATGAAACATAAAAAATAGAGTTGGAGGGCCAAAATGAAATAAAATAGAAATAAAGTGCCAAAATAAAAAATGATACCAAGTTGAATGGTCTGGATATGTATTTGGCCAAAATAAAATAAAAGTCTTACCTTGCATAAGTTAGACATCATCCATAAATATACTTCCCCTTCCTTGTGGCCTTTTCGTCTTCTTAATTTCCCTCCCTCATTTCTTCAATTAACTTTACTCACGAGGGAGCGTCGGCGCGTTAGCGCGTATTCCATCCCCCCCCCCCCCCCGGCCCCAAACTCCACCTCTACTCCTTCATTAACTCATCACCTCAAGAAAGTTCATTCGTCACCTTTCAAAAAGTCTCATCATCAGAAAACACACACACAGAGAGCTCTGTTTCTGTCTCCAGAGCAACCATTTATATGACAATCCCATAAGTACAGAGTACAGACTCAGAGTTCATCAACTTATCCTTTTTTGTTTTTTTGTTATTAATTTTTTTATTGTTCTTGTGTTGGTGTGGCAATGGCGATATGGACCAACTTGTCGCATTATCTAACATCGAAATCCAAGAAAGCTAATCTTTACTACGTGGCTGCAACTGTTATTCTTTGTTGTACCTTTTATGTAATCGGACTTTGGCCACAAGGTGGTGTTAACACCACTCAATTATCCTCCACCACCCTCCTACCCACCCTCCCCTGCAACCCATCAATTAAAAACACAAATTCCAATTACGGTTCATCGATTTCCCTCGACTTTACCGCCCACCACACCGCCGCTGACCTTGTTCCACTCTCACCATCGGCGCGTGTAAACCACTTCCCTTCATGCAACCCTGAGTTGTCCGAATACACCCCATGTGAGGATTCAAAAAGGTCGTTGAAATTCGATAGAAACATGCTTATTTATAGAGAAAGGCATTGTCCTGAGAAGAATGAGTTATTAAAGTGCAGAATTCCGGCACCTTTTGGTTATAAACCGCCGTTCAGGTGGCCGGAAAGTCGTGACTCGGTTTGGTATGCGAATGTTCCGCATAAACATCTTACGGTAGAGAAAGCTGGTCAGAATTGGGTCCGGTTTAAGGATGACCGGTTCACATTCCCCGGCGGCGGCACCATGTTCCCACGTGGCGCCGATGCTTATATTGATGATATCGGAAAGTTGATCAATCTTAAAGATGGTTCCATCAGGACCGCCATTGATACCGGTTGTGGGGTAAGTTTTATTAGTTTATTGAATTCGTTTGGACTTTTCCTTTTTGGTGTTTGTATGTTTGATGACTTGTATTTGGAGAATATTTTCCAAATAAGTTTTCTGGTATTAATTTGGTTAGAAAATCAAAAGTATTTTCCAAAAAAAAAACTTTTATTAAATATTGATAATTATGGTAGCATATCAAATAGGAGTAGTGTTTTGACTGAAAATTTTGAGTATTCGATGAGTCATCATTGATTAGTTTTACCGTAACCCTCCTGCTTTATTCGTGCTTGGTACGTTTGGAATTGACAATGTAAGCGAACTTTGGAGTTAAAAATTTGAGTATTAGAGATTCATAATAATGTCTTATGTGTTAATTGATAATTGTGAGGAATTTGGTGAAAATTATATTTCGTTGTAACATATTTTCTGCCAATCTAACACAAACAAATGACTTATTTTTAAGAAAATTTATGTCATCAATTTTTTCTTTTTTGAAGCTTTGACTTTTCAAGAGGAGAAGTAAGAATATAATGGGTATGTTTTGTGGCAATGCACATGGTTTTCCAACGTATTGGTAGGAAGTGGTCTAAAATTACACATTTTCAAATTTAATTTACAGGAGAAAATGAATTTAATAAATTTGACTTTCTTAGTTCCCTAATTAAGATCTTGCTTTAGTGGAGAGTTCTTATAAATTAGAGGTATGGATAGTTGGTTGAAGTGGGTTGTGGGGGGTGGTTGAACAAGATGATTGCTAAAAATTTATGATTCATTTCGTGTGGGAGTTTCATTCCTAGCGTTCAAATTATTGGTCTTACTGTAAAAGAGTTGGTAGTTTGGTTTAGTTAAGTTGAATAAAAAGAAAGTTGGTAGTTTGGCTTTAGTGAACTTAGTGGAATCCTCAATAGGTTGAAACGAAAAATGAGCGTTTCCTTCAATTACACTTAAAGAATGTCTTCGATTGATTTGCGAAATAAGCAAAAAACTAATCAATTCAATATTAAATTGCAAGGAAAGAAAATTATTATGGTTTTCACATATACTCCCTCCGGTCCAAAATAAGTAATTTTTTAGCTGTTTTCACACAAATTAAGAATTTCACCTTTTAACATTAATTAACAATGAAATTGACCATGTTAATCTTTATCTCTTCACATAAACACTCCTAACGCATACTCCAACACTATTTACTCCAAGGGCAATGTAGGAAAAAAATAATTAATTCATTCTTGAAATCAGGAAAAATCACTTATTTTGGACCAAAAAAAAGGGCCAAAAAATCACTTATTTTGGACCGGAGGGAGTATAATGTAATCCTGTTCTGATTTTAACATTTGGTGCAACTAATATGGGAACTTATTTAATTGCTTAGGCATATGTAGTTTAAATTTCATTTTCCCAGCCTTTTGCCTTTTGGTTTCATTTTTTCCCTACTACAAGCATTCTAACAAGAGGGTATATTGGTAATTAAAAAAAGGTTACATGTGCTTATTTAGAATACATATTACACGATCACTGATGCATTCCTACTAACTAATTTCATTAAAACTGGTCCACAAATAACTTTAGTCTTGAATGGAAAAGGCTGAACTGAATTCTCAAAATTTGCATTATTTTAGGATCCAAATTTTGAGCAAAATTTTCTACAACCATTAGTACACTACAGCTAGTAGAAAGAGTCCATGCTTATGAGATTTGTAACCTCTTTTAGACCCTATATTAGAAGATACCCACATGAATAATGACGACATATCCATAAATTTAAGTCATGTGGGAGTAGCACTAGTCCATTAGAACTATGTAACTATTAATGTGAATTTAGTTTATAAATATTTAAATATGGTCAAACTATATATACAGTTTAATTTAGAACAAGCAAAAGTGCCTTTAGAATGAGTGAACCATTTGTCACCGTGGCTTAAGGATCTAAATGAAATTTTGCTAATTATTCTAACTAAGTGAGTTTTCTTGTTCTATTTCTTTACCTCAACCATATGAGGCTAATTTTACCATGTACAAGTTCAGGTTGCAAGTTGGGGTGCTTACTTGCTCTCTCGAAACATTATACCAATTTCATTTGCACCAAAAGACACACATGAAGCTCAAGTTCAATTTGCCCTTGAGCGAGGAGTTCCGGCATTGATTGGGATTTTAGCTACTAAAAGGCAACCTTACCCTGCAAGAGCTTTCGATATAGCGCATTGTTCTCGCTGTCTCATCCCTTGGGGACAATATGGTAATCTACAATTGCATAGCTTTGAATTTTTGCTCATTTTATTATGTTTAGAATATGAAGTAAGATTGATCATTTTAATTTTACTTTTTATCCATTTGATATGGAGCAGATGGGCTGTATTTAATTGAAGTTGATCGAATTTTACGTCCTGGTGGATACTGGATTCTTTCTGGACCACCTATTAACTGGGAAAATCACTGGAAGGGCTGGAATAGAACAGCTGAAGATTTGAAAGCAGAGCAGGATCAAATTGAGAGCGTTGCGAGAAGCCTATGCTGGAAGAAAGTAACTCAGAAAGGCGAACTAGCAATTTGGCAGAAGCCAACTAATCACATGCATTGCAAAATTAACCGGAAGGTCTTCAGGAAACCACCCTTTTGCCAGGAACAAGATCCAGACAAAGCATGGTAATGTCCTATGTGAATGATTATAATTCAACCATGGTTAGATTTTAGAGGATTTCCTTGTCATTCCCCAGTCCCAATTCTTGCAGCACATGACACATTGCGCTTTCACATATGATTTTCTTACACAAAATCTCTAAGAGACCATTAGGTGCATCAGCCTTTTGTAGCAGGATTGAAACGAACAGCAAGAAATCCATTCCGCTCTCAATATTTTTACTCTAAGAATGTGATGCTGTATGCTTATTCTTTGTCTCTTTTGGGACTCTCAAATGAAAAGGGTGAGTGACTCGCTAAGCCTTGGAGGGAATCTTTTGTCATATTCATCTTAAAACACTTTATGGGTACGATTACATTTTGATGGGGAAAGTGATGGTCTGTGTCACATTGGAACTAAAAGGGCAGCCCGGTGCACTAAGCTCCCGCTATGCGCGGGGTCCGGGGAAGGCCGGACCACAAGGGTCTATTATACGCAGCCTTACCCTGCATTTCTGCAAGAGGCTATTTGTGTCACATTGGAACTAGTTTATGTTATTCCACACCTCTTGTCGCTTAATTTTTCTTTGAAACTATTTAACAATATTCTACACTTTTGTCGGTAGTACCGAACTATTTGACCAACTTAATCTAGAAATTAATGGTGCCTGTCCTAGATGAAGTATATAATTAGGTAGTATTCCCTAGTGTATTTATCCAAGAACTCTTCAATGCTCCAGGTACACCAAGATTGATGCTTGTTTGAATCCCCTACCCGAAGTGTCAAATGTTAGAGATATTGCTGGAGGGCCACTGGCGAATTGGCCGGAAAGATTGACTGCGGTCCCTCCTAGGATTGCTAGTTCAAGCATAGAGGGAGTTACTGCAGAGGGCTTCTCTAAAGACACAGAATTGTGGAAGAAGAGAGTCGCTCACTACAAGGCCTTGGACTTCCAATTTGCAGAACGTGGAAGGTACCGTAACATACTTGACATGAATGCTTGGTTGGGAGGATTTGCGGCTGCACTTGTTGATGATCCAGTTTGGGTCATGAACGTCGTCCCTGTTGAGGCTGAAGTCAACAGCCTCGGAGTTATCTATGAACGTGGTTTGATTGGGACGTACCAAAACTGGTAAGCCACTGATCCTATGGAAAGTTTATTTTTGCCATCCTGCTTGTTACTTACTGATGATGCTCTTTTCATTTAGGTGCGAAGCCATGTCTACGTACCCGAGAACTTATGACTTCATACATGCTGATTCTGTTTTCAGCCTCTACCAGGACAGGTAACCGTTGGATGGTTCATATTCCTCCTCGAGCTATCATTGAGTGTTGCATGTTTTATTGATTTATGTTTATGTATGCAGATGTGAAATGGAAGATATATTACTGGAAATGGACAGAATATTAAGGCCACAAGGCAGTGTAATTTTCCGAGACGACGTAGATGTTTTGGTAAATGTGAAGAGCATAGTAGATGGACTACAATGGGATAGCAGGATGGTTGATCATGAGGGTGGCCCTCATGTTAGGGAAAAGCTTCTAATTGCTACTAAGCAGTATTGGACAGCACCAGCCCCTGACCAAGATAAACAACCTTCATAGGCATCATTGAATCTTCTATAGTTTTACAATCTGGCCAATTCTTTACTTCCTTTGTTGATAATTTTTGTTTGTTCAGTGGGCTCTTGTGATTTTTCATTGACCTCTCTATCTTTTTGGCTTCAAAATAAACAAGAGGATATTGAGGTTTTCCCCTGAGATTACTCTTTTTACTATTTGGCGTTCGAACCGGCTTGTGATATTTTACTTTACGCTCACTCTTTTACATTTTGAAATGTAAAATTTGGATAGAGACCAGTTTTTATTTGATAGAGTTAAAATGACTACAATGGTTTTCTTCTACTATCAACATCTCAACCATTATACATTTTGATTGGATGGCTTGTGAGATTTTACTTTTATGCTTACCATTATACAATTGGATCCTTGCTAGTGGTCCAATCGCTCTCTTGTGTTTCAATTTTATCGTGTCACAAAGTCAAACATTAAGAGTCCGTTTGGCCAAGCTGCCAAAATCTGCTTATTTTGAAAAGTACTTTTTGTTAGAAGTACTTTTTTTAAAAGTACTTTTGAAAAAAAACTGTTTGTGTTTGGCCAATTCATTTAAGAAGTACTTTTTGGAACATTTGATAAATAATTTGTGTTTGGCCAATCATTTCAAAAAGTGCTTTTGAATATCAAATTACCAAAAAGGATAGTACCAAGGTCGTATAATTCTTTTAAACATGAAAATGAACTTAAATATTTATCGTAAGAGACTTTTATTATTATTTTATTTTATTTTATTAAAATATAAAACATAAAGTAAAAAAATATATTAAATATTTAAATCAATTTTACATATATAGTTATACTAAAGTATATGATATTATCTAGTATAATTACTTATTTTTATATGATGATTTGAATCATTAAAATAACATCATCCAGTATAAATTAGAAGTCTATACACAATTTACTATATATTGATAATCCATCATGAAATAATAAGTAAAGTCACTCACACATGATAATACTTCTCAACAATTTCATCTATGCTTCTATCACACAACGCTTCAATATTAGTAGAAGACTTGCCTCGCATTTCTAAAGGAATATCAGAAGGCTTATCTCCTTCATCAATCTCTGCAGTAATATCTTCATTAGCATAATAGTTGAATTCTTTATCGGTAAAAGAATATTGTCGGATGAAATTATGTATAGCCATGGAAGTTGTAACTAGATGATTTTGAGTGTCAAACTTGAAAGATGGCATTGAGCGTAAAATAAAGATAATTTTAAATATATAAAACAAATCGTAAAAGAAATAGCTAAGTATGTATAAATTCTAATTCAAAAAGAGTAACTAATTATTAACAACACATAATGTATAATTTATTTACTTTTTTAAAAATATAAATTCAAAAAGAAACTAATTATTACCTAACTTTACTAACTTTGTCCTAAAATGCCAAGTGGCCTATTGTGAGGCTGCCACTTGACTAAATATGGATGTATTTTTTTCTTCTTTTAATAATATATAGATAGATAATATATAGATAGATAATATATAGATAGATTATGCAATGCAATTGTGAATTTATTACCTATTTGTAGGTCATTTTCACAAATCAAATTTGATAACTGTTTTAAAGATTCGGGAACTAATAACATAAAAATAGAAGAAATTATAAATAATTATTTGTAGGAAGAGAATTGATAATCCGAAGAAGATGCAGATAATTTGCTTTAGTGTGAAAAAAGAAGAAGATAATTTGGAAAGTTACGAGACATTACACAAAGAAAAGATCAAAAATAAGAAAAGTCAATAAAAAATTTGAAAAGTTACAATATGATTTATATATGTGATATTGATAATAGGTGAATTTGACTATAATCACACCTTAAATAATCACCTTCTTGTGTAGTTTTAATGCTAAAAGTGATAACAAAATGCTCTTATTAGTGCTTTTCATGATTTGCAGGTGATATATGTACAAGGAAGGCTAAGGAGCAATTTTGGAGTCAAAAATGATGGAGAAGAGGCCAACTGTGAAATTTCNAAAGAGACCAAATGTGTAAATGCCCAATGAAGCCACGCCCTGCCAGCCCTTAGAATTCAGAGAACTGGTTTAGCCGCGGTTCCACCGCGACCGCGGCAGAACCGCGGTGGGAAGTAGCTGCAGAAGTTCAGAGATTCTGCGAGGGTGTTTGGCCGCGGTTCTACCGCGACCGCGGCAGAACCGCGGCAGGCGCAGAAACTTCTGGGACCAAAGTGTCAATTACGGGATTTTTAGACCTAAACCCTATTTAAAACATTAGACTTCGCCCAAGAGAGGCATGTATTGAGTTTTTAGGTTTCTTAGCAAGAAAAATAATTGTGAGAAAGTACTCTAAACATCTTTCTTCTTTTCTTTTGATTTATTGATGAATTCAAGCTTAGTTTATTTTCCCATAGCCATGAGTAGCTAAATTCCTTGTCTAAGGCGTTGATGGAACCTATTGGTGATGAACTTCTTGTTTATGTGAATACAAATTGCTAGTTTAATCTTTATTTGTTCAACTTCGTGTTCGTTGTAGTTAATTGACAGGATCCTCAATTAGCTGTGCCTATTTAGTGTGCATAACTCGGGAGAGAGTGCATATTTAGGTAGTTGTTGAATAACATCACTCCCAAAGTATAAGAGGGATCTATAACTGCGGGTTTAAAGGCGGGATTAGAGAAGCCTTGGGTGCAATCTAAAGTGAGCTGTAATAAACAAAGCCAACTAGCGTAACTCAGGAGAGTGTGTCTAGTAAATTGTGGTAATTACTCGGGAGAGAGTTACGACAGTCAGAGCGCTCATGATCGGTAGAGAATACTTAGGCGAATTTATAGAAAACGTAGCGGGAAGGATTCTGACAATTGGGAAAATCATAACTCTAGACCTCCTTAATCTCGACTCCAACCCTTATCCTTGTTAATTGATAGTTTTACGGCTTTCTAGATTTGTTAGTTAATTAGATAAAAATAAATATTATAATCTTTATAATTAGAAAATTGTTTGGACTTGTGTTTCTTAGCGATATTGAACAACTATAGCTAAGCCTTAGTTCTCTGTGGGATTCGACTCCGGACTTGTAAACCGGATTATATTTGCAACGACCGCTTAGTCCTTTTTATAAGGCATAGTTGGGCGTGATCAATTTTTGGCGCCGTTGCCGGGGAATTAACTGAATTATCAATTGCCATTGACAGAAATACAAAGATTCTTGTTGTAGTCAGTTTTCTCTCTACCAACTTTTTCATTGAAAATTTGACGGTTGTTGATCTGGGTGCACAGGTGCATGCCTAGAAATTCTACGAGGACTGGAGAACTGCTTGAAGGACTCTCGGACCCCGAGAAGACATTCCGGGCATTGAATCGTGCAAACAAAAGACTTCAACAATCACAACAAATACACCAACTCGAAATTGACATGGGCGACATAAACGACCCCAACGGGAACGTCAGGAATGAGCAATTGGCACCTCCTGTGCCTGAGGGTGCACTTTATGACTGGGCACAACCCACAACTGACAATCTGGCCACTGCCATTATTGTGCCTGCAATACAA